TCTTCTCTTCTTCTTCTTCTTCTTCTTCAAGACTAACAAAATGTATTTAGTCTTTAGCTGCCACTAGACCCATTTGACTTTGCTACAACAGACTAAGACAGGAGAAGGACCGTGGCTCTGCGTTAAAGCACCCGCCCAGTGTCCACATGGTCCCTGGTTTGATCCCTGGCATCTCCAGTTAAAGGGACTGAGTAGTACGTGATGTGAAACTAAAACTAAACTAAAGTGAGCACTTCTGGAATTCTGAGGGGGGCCGTGGTCACAACAGCAAATCAGGTGTCGCAGGGTAATGGACAGTAGCAACATCGAGAGGGTCCCTAGCCAAGTGATCTCCTTCAGCTACTTCCCAGCGTTTGTCTCTGCAGGCACAAATGGGATGGATAAGAACATAAGAACATAAGAGATGCCAATGTTGGATCAGGCCAAAGGCCCATTCAGTCCAACACTCTGTATCACACAGTGGCCAGAAATACCAGTGCCATCAGGAGGTCCACCAGTGGGGCCAGGACATTAGAAGCCTTTCCACTGTTGACCCCCCCCCAAGCACCAAGAAGACAGAGCATCACTTGTCCCAGAGTCCCTATCTATACCTTGTGGCTAATAGCCACTGATGGACCTCTGCTCCGTATGCTTATCTAATTCCCTTTTGAAGCCGTCCATGCTTGTAGCCGCCACCACTTCCTGTGGCAGTTTATACCCTTGGTTGGTATAAACATCTGGAGCAGAGGTCCATCAGTGGCTTTTAGCCACAAGTTATAGATAGGAACTCTCAGTCTGGGGCAAGTGATGCTCTGTCTTCTTGGTGCTTGGGGGGGGGGGTCACCAGTGGGAGGGCTTCTAATGTCCTGGCCCCACTGGTGGACCTCCTGAGGGCACCTGGTATTTTTGGCCACTGTGTGACACAGAGTGTTGGACTGGATGGGCCATTGGCCTGATCCAACATGGGCTCCCATTATGTTCTTCTTATTATATGAAAGACCTTTTACCTGAGGCCCCTGGAGAGTATCTGCCAGTCTGAACAGACAATGCTGACCTTGATGGACCAAGGCAGTATAAGGCAGCTTCCTGCGTCCATGTGGGTTACCCCCTCTGGAGCTGATTAATGTGCTTCTCGAGAATCGGACCCAGACAGATTCTGAGTAAGCAGAGATGCATTTAGCTGGAGAATTATTTTTTTGTTTCCTTTTTTACTTACTTGTTCGTATCAAGCTGTGACAGCCGTTGGTGAAAATCTGCTGCAGCTGCTGTGAAATTAGCCACGGAGGAAAAAAGGGCATCTGGAAATACAGAAAGAGTTTTGCAGTCAGTAGCTCAGGGAACGGACTGGGGGAAGAGAAACCATTTCTCTGTTGGTGGGGGGGACTCTCTCTCTCTTTCTTACAGGAAAACAAATAAATTTCAAAGTCAAATACCTTTAATGGCATAGCAGTAAGTAGGGGTGTGCAAAAAAAATTTTTTTGGCCCATTCAGATTTGGCCAAATTGAACAGAATCGATTTCGGCAGGCATAAAGACTCCTGCATGTCAATTTCGGCAGTATGAGCAGATTCAGGAGTCTTTCGGCCAGCCGAATGTCAGTTTCAGCCCCATTATATCCTATGGGCCTTTGAAGTCAATGGTGAAAACATAGGGTATATTCTGGGGGATGAAGGGGAGGGGGTTTGAGGGAGAGGCTCCAAACTTGCAGGATAGATGCTGGAGCCTGTTCCCAAGATACCCACCATGTTTCAAAAACATTGGAACAGGGGGTCCAATTCTACAGACCTCCAAACAGGTTGCCCCCTCCCCTCCATTGTTCTCTATGTTGGGGGGAAAGGTTACTTTTTTCCCACCATAGAGAACAATGGAGGTGATAGGGGAAACCTGTTTGGGGGCCCGTAGAATTGGACCCCCTGGTCCAATGTTCTTCAAACTTGGTTGGTATCTTGGGGAGTGGCTCCAGCAGCTACCCTGTGAGTTTGGAGCTTCTCCCTCAAACCCCCTCCCCTCCAGCCCCCAGAATATACCCTATGTTTTCGCCATTGATTTCAATGGCCCATAGGATATAATGGGGCCGAATTGCCACCGAAATTTGGCGGCAAATCGGCAGCAAGCCGATTCAGATCAGAGAATCTGAATTGGCCTGCAACAGCCTGAATGGGCCATTTTCGGGGGTGCATTCGGTTTGGACGAACCAAATGCACATCCGTAGCAGTAAGATACATAGATGTACAATAACATGGCATGGGTATATAAGACATTGTAAGCAATATAAATCAATCCTTTACAAATAAATTGATGCTGGAAATCCACAGGACTGACCGGCCTAGATCAGCAGCTACCCCTGTGAGTGGTAGCACGGCCAGGGGCAACAATCCAGGTATCACACACCTAGATGATGCAAATTTTGTAAGGTGTATAAAGTAAGATGACTTCGTGTAATAAGTCAGGCTAGCAAAAATTCTACTTTGTGAGCTACTGCCATTAAAGTTGTGAGCGGGAATTTGGCTACTGCATGAATTAGGTTGCTCGGGAGCCATCCTTCCTGAGCTAAGACAAAAATCTGTGAGCCGGAGGCTAAAAAACTGTGAGCTAGCTCACACTAACTCAGAGGGGACACTGGTGGTGGCTACAAGCATACACAAAGAGGGGACTAAATAAACAAATGGAGCAGGTCTGTCAGTGGCTACTAGCCACAAGGTCTAGATGGAATACTCTGTCTGGGGCAGCGATGCTCTGTATTCTTGGTGCTGGATGGGGGCAACAGTAGGAGGGCTTCTGGAGTTCTGGCCCCGCTGGTGGACCTCCTGATGGCACCTGGGTTTTGGCCACTGTGTGACACAGAGTGTTAGACTGGATGGGCCATTGGCCTGATCCAATATTGGCTTCTCTTATGTTCGTATGTCTTTCATATTGCCTGCTGACTGGTCCTTTTAACTGGAGATGCCAGAAAATAATGCTTTTAGTAGAAAATGTTTTGAAGGGAAAACCCCAACACGCACCTGAACTTTGGCATTCTTTTGTACTTCACATCCCTTTCCCAAAGGGGGGGGGAGAGAGAGAGAGAGAGATTTGGGGCTGGAACCAATCATTCCCATCCACTAAGTAAAGTCTTTACACACATGTTTGCCATCTCCCTTGCTGATGGAGAAGTGAGACACAGCTGCAAGCAAAGATAAAATAAAAAGCAAAGCTGGAAGGATTTTAAGTTCTGTTCAAGTAACACTCACCAAAAGATACTTTGTAAGTCACAAGTTCAGTCTCGTGTTTCTGGGCCAAACTGTAGAGAGCCAGAGGCTAAAAAACTGTGAGCTAGCTCACACTAACTCAGCTTAGAGGGAACACTGGTCTTGAATACGATCTTCTGGTCATGGGGAGGCTCAGTTCCAACCAGTGCAATGGAACAGGACAAGGTGGGTTGAGTTTTCATAGAAACCTAGAATCACAGAGCTGGAAGGGGCCCTACAGGCCATCTAGTCCAACCCCCTGCTCAGTGCAGGATCAGCCTAGAGCATCCCTGACAAGGATTTGTCCACCTGCTGCTTAAAGGGTGGCATGGAGGGGGAGCTCAACACCTCCCTAGGCAGCCAATTCCACTGTTTGCATCTGGAGAGGAGATGAAGAAGTCAAGTTAGTACGTTCTCCACTTCACTCAAGGTAAGTCCCTACCCACTATCATGGGGCCGAACCAGATATGATGCTGGGAATACAATCATCTGATCATGGGGAGGCCCAGTTCCAACCAGTGCAATGGAACAGGACAAGGTGGGTTGAGTTTTTATAGAAACCTAGAATCACAGAGCTTGAAGGGGCCCTACAGGCCATCTAGTCCAACCCCCTGCTCAGTGCAGGATCAGCCTAGAGCATCCCTGACAAGTGTTGGTCCACCTGCTGCTTAAAGGGTGGCAGGGAGGGGGAGCTCACCACCTCCCGAGGCAGCCGATTCACCTGTTGCACAACTCTGACTGCAAAGAAAGTTTCTCCTAAGATCCAGCCGGTACCTTCCCACCCTTAATTTAAACCCATTCTTGCGAGTCCTCTCCTCTACTGCCAACAGGAACAGCTCCCTGCCCTCCTCCTCTAAGGGATCCCATCCAAGTACTGACCAGGGCTGACTCTTCTCAGCTTCCAAGATCTGATGAGATCGGCCTAGCCTGGACTGGCCACTGGCAAAAACGGCACATGCAGGAAGACTTGAGTCCTGCCCCACAGTCCCTATTGGCTTTGAACCCCTGTGCATCAGAGAGCTAAATTTTACAGTTCTGTTTACCTTTCTTTTACCAGCTGTGCCACCGTCTTCAGTCTTTGAGGACACAGAATGACAACCGCCTTGGTTTACCCAAGGGAGGGTACTTATAATCCGCAATCCCTTATGGCAGAGGTGTCAAACTCATTTGTTACGAGGGATGGATCTGACATAAATGTCACTTTGTTGGGCAGAACCATGTGTGCCATTCAATGTAATGGCAGGTACTGGAGATATAAATTGTAAGGACAGCAGCTGATAAGCTCCGAGTTGGTGTACCCTCGACGCAAGCCCTCATGCGTTGGGAGGGAGGTGCCCTAGCCGGGACCGGCCGCTGGCAAAAACAGCACATGCAGGAAGACTTGCGTCCTGCCCCACAATCCCTATTGGCTTTGAACCCCCGTGCATCAGAGAGCTAAATTTTACAGTGCCTGGAAGTTCTGTTTACCTTTCTTTTACCAGCTGTACCACTGTCTTCAGTCTTTGAGGTCACAGAATGACAACCGCCTTGGTTTACCCAAGGGAGGGTACTTATAATCCGGAATCCCTTATGGCAGAGGTGTCAAACTCATTTGTTACGAGGGATGGATCTGACATAAATGTCACTTTGTTGGGCAGAACCATGTGTGCCATTCAATGTAATGGCAGGTACTGGAGATATAAATTGTAAAGACAGCAGCTGATAAGCTCCGAGTTGGTGTACCCTCGACGCAAGCCCTCATGCGTTGGGAGGGAGGTGCAAAGGGAAAACCTGCATGGGCGGACTGGACAGCCAGCAGTTCAGCACTGGGCAGACGCTCCTACACTGTCTGACTGCTGCAGACAAAGCTGTTCCGCCATGCTGAAGCAGTCTCCTGTTCCCTCCCATACACCAGATGCTTGCGGACTGCATAAAAGACCTGGACGGGCCGAATCCGGCCTCCGGGCCTTATGTTTGACACCCCTGCCTTATGGGATCGAGTCCTTTCTGCCTTTGGCTGCGGTCACACACACGAAATAACCCACTTTCCATCCACTTTCAGTGTACTTTCCAACTGGATTTTACCGTGTGAACTGGAAAACTCCAGTTGGAAAGTGCACCAAAAGTTGAATGGAAGTGGGCTATTCCGTGTGTGTGACCGCAGCCTTTAATTGCCTAACACCAGGGCACCACTGTAATAGACGTGATATAGTTCGATCGCCATCGTTTAAGGGTTTATTGTTTTAATCTTGATCTTTTTTGCTTTATATTAATGCCGTAACCCACCTGGCCTGAGCCCGCTTGCAGGAAGAGCAGGATAAAAATCGAACCAAATAAATAAATATTTACAAACAGGGAGAATGCAAATATAATAAGGAGATACACATATCTTTATAGCCCTGAGGGTTAGCAGCAGTGTTCCCTCTAAGCTGAGTTAGTGTGAGCTAGCTCACAGTTCTTTAGCCTCCAGCTCACACCTTTTTGTCTTAGCGCAGGAAGGAGGGCTCCAGAGCAAACTTATTTATGCAGCAGCCAAATCACTCGCTCACAGCTTTAATGCCAGGAGCTCACAGAGTAGAATTTTCTTCACAGGACTCCATAGCTTAGAGGGAGCATTGGTTAGCAGTAAGCTTTTAAAAAAAGATAAGAGATTCTCAGGCTGAGGAATCTTGCCTCCAATACTCCATTCCTCACTTGCTTGCTGCCAATGTGGAACAACGTATTCCTCCCCGTAAGACTGAGGGTGGATTAAACGTTAAAAAAACAATACTTCTAATAAAAATGTTCCACCAAGTCCCGACAGTGCTCGGCGCCAAGTCATTGTGCAGCCTTATCACGGAGAAGGATCACAGTCGGCACTTCCAGGGGCATTTTTTCGCTTTAAAAGGACACGGCGGAGAGGAAAGAAAGCCCTTTTCGATGGCTCCTTGGTAGTCCTCCAAAAATAAATCCACCCACGGTGGTGTCAGCTTTCGGACACGCCGGTGGGCTTACCCTGTTCTTAGTGTAGCGGGCTCTGACGGACGTGATCCCCAGCCGCTGGAAGTACGCTTCGAAATCGCTGCCCGATCCCAGCTTGTTTATTCTGCCCAGAGAACAGAGACACTCGAGTTAGACCTCCGTCAAGGCCTTGAACACAGGGAAGTTGTCCTTTGTGAGACACTGAGAGCCAGTCCAGTATAGTGGTTAAGAGCAGAAGAATCTACTCTTGGAGATCCAGGCTTGATTCCCCACTCCTCCACATGAAGCCAGCTGGGTGACCTTGGGCCAGTCACAAGTTCTCTCTCAGAGCTCCCTCAGCCCCGCCTAGCTCACAGGGTGACTGTTGTGAAGAGGAAAGAGCAAGAGTCCAGTAGCACTTTGAAGACTAACAGTTGTGGCGCGGCATGAGCCTCTGTGACTCACGGCTCACTTCTTCAGGTATCTTCAGAGAGACTTCTTCAGTTATCTGCAGAAAGGAGCAGTGACTCACGGAAACTACTACCCTGCCACTAATTTTGTTAGTCTTTAAGGTGCTACTTTGAGCTTGCTCTTTTTCTCCTGCTAAAGAGAGACTAACGCGGCTACCTGAGCTTCTGTGAGTCACTGCTCACTTCTTCAGGTATCTTCAGAGAGACTTCTTCAGTTATCTGCAGAGAGGAGCCGTGACTCACGGAAACTCCGCCCCTGCCACTAATTTTGTTAGTCTTTAAGGTGCTACGGGACTCTTGCTCTTTTTCTCCTGCTAAAGAGAGACTAACGCGGCTACCCATCTTGTTGTGGGGAGAGGAAGGGAAGATGGTTTTAAGTTGCGTTGAGACACATTGGGCCCGTCCCAGTTTCTCTCAGAACTCTCTCAGCCCTCCCCCCCCTCCGCCTCACAAGGCGCCTGTTGTGGGGAGAGGAAGGTGATTGTAAGCCACTTTGAGACCTCCGGGTAGAGAAAAGCAGGCTATAAAAAACCAACTCTTCTTCTCCTTCTTGTGAGAATAAAGATCACTTTGATTAAGGCTCACGTGGGCTAAAGCTGACAGAGGAAAAGTGAGAGGAATTTCGAGGAGCCAGAAAGCCCTGGAACCGGATTCTGGCATCCAAAGGGGATTGGGCCCAGGGGCCTCCAGTTGGCCATCCCCACCCCAAGAGGTTTGTGGAGGAGTGGAGGGGGTACCACCCTTACCCCCCCCCAAATCCCTTCCCTCTGTATCTAGACCGGAAATGTTTGCCTGTGCCACATGTTGGCAGGAAGGCATATTGGGCCAGTACAGAGGCCATCCAGGGGAAAAGCCAAACGTTCTGCCAAGTCTGGTTGAACACAGTTGCCTTGGCTAGTGAGCAGGAGAAACTTTGGAATGGACCACCACATTCCTAGTGTGGTGCGTAGAGGCCCCCCCAACCCCGATGCTAGGAGAGAGGGTGAGCCCCCCCCCAGTTTCCTGCTCGAACCATGGGATAACTGAGAACCAGATTTCAATCTATGAAAAGAGTTACTTGGACATTGGCGCTTCTGTTCCTATCCATGCCGAAGGAGAGAGGAAGAAGGGTGTTCACTGATGTCTGCACCACTGGCCCTAACACACTTAGGCTGAGTTCAGACGGGCAGTTTGAAGCGGGAGGGAGTCGTGGCAAAAAAAGAGCCGGAACAAACTGTTCCGGGTTTTCGCATTCACACTGCAGCGACTGATGTGGGAGCATGCCAGGAGGAGGCGCAAGGGAGCGTTCGCCCTGTTGGCCCGGAGGCACAGCTGTAAGGCGCAGCTTTCTCTTTTTTTGTAATCTGGAGATATGCGCTAATGCACATGAGCGCATAAGAAAAATGTGGCTTTTGGCGTTCACACTTTGTTGGTGCGGGAAGGATGGGGGATAATCGCGCTTTCCAGGGTTTGCTACCACTTTCACCAGGTATCTTTTAAACTCGGGAGCGAAGCATTACAAGACAAGTTGCGTATGGGTGGGGAGCGCCTGACAGATGTGCCTGTGTGAACGGCCCCTTTCATCCGGTTGTGGAACGTTTCTGAAACGCCGCATATATCGGGGCAAACGGCCAGTCTGAACTCAGCCTTAGATTCTGCTCTGGGATGTTTAGTTCAGGGGTCCCCGACATGTGGTTCAGGGGTGCCATGTGGCCCCCGCTGACATCTTTCCCGGTGCCCACCGAGTGCTCTTTAGAAAGTGGTGGTTGTCGGGTGGGTCTCTTGTCCAGCGGGGCTTGTGATCGGCCACTGGAGTACTGATTGGCTGTGCAGATTTTTGTAGCCACAGCGCAAGGATCTTCACTGCCTGGTTGAAAGTCAGCTGTGTTCATGCAAGGAAATATTTTTAAACAGTGTTTTCATTTTAAGAACATAAGAGAAGCCAATGTTGGATCATGCCAAAGGCCCACCTAGTCCAACACTCTGTCACACAGTGGCCAAAAACACCAGGTGCCATCTGGAGGTCCAGCAGTGGGGCCAGGACACTAGAAGTCCTTCCTCTGTTGCCCCCCCCCCAAAGCACCAACACGACAGAGATGAAGCTGTCTATGCTTGTACCTGCCACCACCTCCTGTGGCAGTGAATTCCATGTGTTAATCACTCTTTGGGAGAAGAAGTACTTCCTTTTATCCGTTCTAAATCTACTGCTCATTAATTTCATTGAGTGCCCACGAGTTCTTGTATTGTGAGAAAGGGAGAAAAGTACTTCTTTCTCTACCTGCTCTATCCCATGCATAATTTTGTAAACCTCTATCATGTCACCCCTCAGTCATCATTTCTTCAAGCTAAAGAGCCTTGACCTCTTTAAGCTTTGTTCATAGAGAAAGTCTTCCACCCCCCTGATCATTTTAGTTGCCTTTTTCTGCACCTTTTCCAATGCTATAATATCTTTTTTCTGGTGGGGTGATCAGAACTGCACAGAGGATTCCAAATGAGGCCACACCATCAATTTATACAGGGGTGTGATGATACCGGCTGATTTGTTTTCAATCCTGGTAAGCAGAGTGTCTGCCTACAGTGCTGAAGAGGGACTATTACGAGTTAGAACGACCTCACTTCCTTACACTGTGTAGCTGTATCAGCCTCTTGTGGCAGCCATTTTGTAGTTGGGCCCACCACTCAGCAACTTTCCCATGCACTTGCTGGGGGGGGGGGCAGTGAAACCCCCTTCCCATTTCAGGTGGTTTGTCCAGAACTTTTGCCTACAAACCCACTACGGATATTCTCAAGTCAACACAGTGGCCATATTGTTGGGCGGTACCGGTGGGAATGAAACCCTGGGAGACACTGGCTCACCCGCCTGTCCGTTACAGACAACCTGGCCAATCAGGAGGCATGCTGGTGGTGATTGGCTTACCTGGCAGCCTGTCAAAGGCCATTGGACAGGTCAGTCATTAGTGTCAGAGCAGCTCAGCCAGGGCCGATAGGAGATGCAAGGAATAAGCGCAGCGGGAGTCTAGGAAAGCAAGCTCGGAAGAGAGAGTTCTCCAGGAAAATGAGAAGAGGAAAGGGAGCCAGCCGGCAGGGATCTGAACAGGAAAGAAAGCAAAAGAGAAAGCAGGCAGAGAGGGGGACGTGGCTGAGAGCCAAAGTTCGAGTACTGAGCTGAAACAGCCAACCAAATTCTTATCAGCAGGCCCACAAGCTACGGCTATATTCAGACATCACGAGAAACCATGGCTTGATTGAATCTGGTTAGCCAGGACATCCTAGATGCAGACAATCAGCCAAACCAGGACTTCAAACGAGGGTCTGTGGCTGGTTTCTTCATTGGTACTAACTGCAGTTGGTAGATGACGTTAATTTTTTTTAAAAAAAAAAACTTGTGAAGCCTGCTGGGTGACCTTGGGCCAGTCACAGTTCCCTCAAAGCTCTCTCACAGGCTCTCAGAACTACCTCACAAGTTGCCTGTTGTGGGGAGAGGAAGGGAAAGGCGACTGTAAGCCACTGTGAGACTCCTTAACGTAGAGGAAAGCAGAGTATAAAAACCTACTCTTCTTCTTTATCAAGAAGGCAACCTGCAATAGGCAAAAAGGGGCCAGTCTTAGCAGAACAGGTCTGTGGGATCTCACCAAATGCCTCTGAAGAGCTGTGGGATTCTGTGGAAGTTTTATCCGTCCTTTGGTGGTTCACACACATGCGCAAATCCATCCAGTTAGGAACTCGTATGTGAGAATCAAACTAGAGGATCTCTTACCTGGGGAGATGCGGGTTTTCTGGGGAAGGGTCCTTTTCGAGCCAGCTCTCGTAGAGGGATTTGCTTTCATACCCTTCATCAGGGCTTGAGAGCTAGAGAAGAAAGGGAACGTGTTATGGTCATCATTACTGCTGCTGCCACCACCTGAACAACTTTTTTAGAAAAAGACATTATAGGGGCCCAGAAAGTGCCTAAAATGGACAGATTCCCTTCCACCATCTAGAGAAAGAAGTGAGACACAAACGGAAAAGAAGGTTTCATAAGAGCATAACAGAACATGAGAAAAGCCATGTTGGATCGGGCCAATGGCCCATCCAGTCCAACACTGTGTGTCTCACAGTGGCCCAAATGCAGCTGCCATCAGGAGGTCCACCAGTGGGGCCAGAACTCCAGAAGTCCTCCCACTGTTGGCCCACCCAGCACCAAGAATACAGAGCATCACTGCCCCAGACATAAGGACATAAGAGAAGCCACGCTGGATGGGGCCAATGGCCCAGCCAGTCCAACACTCTGTGTCACACAGTGGCCAAAACCCAGAAGCCATCAGGAGGTCCACCAGCAGGGCCAAAACTCCAGAACCCCTCCCACTGGTGCCCCACAAGCACCGAGAATACAGAGCATCACTGCCCCAGACAGAGTATTCCATCTATACCTTGTGGGTAAGAGCCACTGAAACAAAGGCCTTCCTTCTCTGACAATGCTGGCAGAAGTTTCTCAGAAGGAAGGCTTTTGTTCCTCATAAAGAAAATTCAGAGACTGGTTTATTCCTTGTATAAAACTGACACTTTGAGACTTCAGTTCCAGATGACTCTATGGAAGAAACTGTATTGAAAATACCTTCGGAGTTTACTATATTCTGAGCAGGGCAGGAACGCACAGGAACAGAGTTACGGCTGGCTCCAGAGTTGGCCACGCCCATTACAGCCAAAACCTCTGGGTGCGTGGCTACAGAGGGAAGGCCTGGAGAGTGAACCCCCCCAGCGACTCCATGGCGGGTGGGCCAGGGGGGCCCTAGAAGGATCAGAGAGGCATTTAAATGCCTCCCCGTGCCTTCCCCGGCCTGTCCAAGGGCCAGCTTGCCTGGGCAAGCCAAGGGAAGGCATGGGGTGTAGCCTAATATGCTAATGAGTTTCTGCTGTTGGGTGTGGCCTATTATGATAATAAGTTCCTGCTGGGCTTTTTCTACAAAAAAAGCCCCGATTCTGAGGAAGATTACTTACGAAACGAGTTGAAACCCAGGTGCTCGTCAGTTTATCACAAGTTGGAACAGTTTACTACAAGTTGGAACTTGGTTCTTATTGTACTAACTGAATTTTGTTGCTTGTTTCATATTAACCTCCAGGTGGGGCCTGGCAATCTCTTGGAATTACAATTGAGCTTCCAGGCTACGGAGATCAGGTCTCCTGGAGAAAACGGAAAGTGGACTCTACAGCAGTATACCCTGTTGTAGTCCCATCACTCCCCAAACCCCGCCCTCTCCAGGCTCCACCCCCAAATCACCAGGGATTTCTCACCCCAGAGTTGGGCAAGCTTAGCTGGGCTTCAGAGAAAGGCCAGCAGGAGGAGGAAGTAGAACCAGAAAAAAACAAGACGGTTTTGTACCTCTTTGGTCAGACGGTAGACCAGCTGGTTGAGAAGGGGCGAGCAGTCGACTCTTAATGTGTAGTTGCCTGAAAGTCAACACACACAGAGAAGTTGCTTCACCAAAATGCAACTTATATAAGAAGAGGAGGAGGAGGAGACTGGATTTCTACCCCGCCCTTCACTCGGAGTCTCAGAGGGGCTTACAAGCTTCTTTCCTTTCCCCTCCCCACAACAGACAGAAACTGCTCTTTTCAAGAACACCTCTGCCAGAGCTATGGCTTGCCCAAGGTCATCCAGCAGTCAGTGGAAGAGTAGGGAATCAAACCCAGTTCTCCCAGATTAGAGACCGCACACTTAACCACTACACCAAACTGGCTCTTCTCTTTACTAAGCAATGTGGTTGGAGATGAGCAGCTGATAATTCACAAGTTAGCAATAGTTAACAACCATTTCTCAAAGCCAGAAGACCCATAATCTCTCATTGGCAGAGTCTTCTCCAGCACCTAGCTACATATGTAAGGGGAGATAACAGAGATCGAACCTCGGACCTTCTTCATGCAAGATACATGCTGTGACACCAAGTCAAAGCCCTGTCCATAAAAGCTGCATGCACTGTCCCTGTTTACCAGGGACTGGCTTTCTGCAGCAGCCTTCTCCGGTGGTAGATAAGTCATTCTCTGAGCTAATCGTGGCCCCCATCAGAGATGCAACAGAATTATCCACTCCTGTGAAAGGCAGCTTGGGACAAGGCAGCCAGAGCAGGGACTCATCCAGAGATGCTGCATCCAGCCTCCTATGTGGATGGAAGCTCTGAGCAGACAGAAACCTTAAGCTGTTCAATCTCTCTCTTTGCATGATGGAATCACTGCCCTCTCTGCAATGTCACATTTGCTGTCCAAATAAAAAGCCTGTCTAGACCAGAGGTCATTTTGGGGGGGAATGCGGGGGAACGCAGTTCCCCCGGGTGAGGTACGGGGGGCAGGGCACATGACGAAGCCCCGCCCCCTGCTTCCGGCCGCCCTGCTTCCAGCCCTCATTCAGCCAGGAGGAGGCAGGAGAAGAGGGAGGGTAAGTTGCTTCCTCCCTGCCTCTCCCCACCCCTGCCTGCCTGGGGCCAGGGAGGGCCTTCCCGGGGCTTCCTTGCACTCCCGCCGGCCTTGCAGGTCCACCGCCGGGCCCCTGATGTCAGGGGGTGTGGCATATGCTAATGAGTTATGCTAATGAGTTCCCCTAGCTCTTTTTCTACGAAATGACCCCTGGTCTAGACTACTGACCCGGCCATCAGCAGAATACAAACCAGGGCTCACCTAGCTGAGTAAAGACCCCCTCCAGGGATGACTGGGATGAGCAGTCAGTGTGATGCGGTGGCAAAAAAGGCATATTCAGTCTCGGGTTGTATTAAAAGGGCCATAGCATCGAAATCGCAGGAGGTCATATTGCTTCTCTGTATGCTGCCTTGGTCAGGCCGCACCTGGAGTCCTGTGTGCAGTTCTGGAGGCCTCACTTCCAAAAAAATTTGGGCAAAATCGCGAGGGTGCAGAAGAGAGCGATGAGGATGATCAAGGGTCTGGAGACTGAGCCCTGTGAGGGAAGGCTAAGGGCCCTGGGAATGTTTCGTTTGGAGAAGAGGAGATTGAGTGGGGGGGGAACATGATTGCTCTCTTTAAACATTTGAAAGGACGTCATTTAGAGGAGGGGCAAGGAGCTGTTCCAGTTGGCAGCAGAGGAGAGGACCCGAAGCAACGGGTTTAAATCACATGCAGAAAGGTATCGGCTGGATATCAGGAAACACTTTTTCACGGTCAGAGTGGTTCAAAGATGGAATCAGCTGCCTAGAGAGGTGGTGAGCTCCCCTTCACAGGCAGCATACAAGAAGAGATGCTTTAGGCTGGTCCTGCATTGGGCAAGGGGTTGGACCAGATGGTCTGTATGGCCCCTTCCGACTCTATGATTCTAAACAGCGCCAATCCTTGTTGGCACTGGCTTATTCCTCTTTGCTTTCACATACCTTTGTGCCTCCGTGCTTTCAAAACAAATGTGTATTTGTCATGTAATTTGAAGGACCATCTCTCCCCAAACATCTCCAGGGGACTGCGGCAATCCTGGTTGCCACCTTCTGGTTATGCCCTTGCTTACCCACTTGGCACCTTTGGTGTAGTGGTTAGGAGCACGCACTATAATCTGGAAGAACGGGGTTTGATTCCCTACTCCTCCACATGCAGGCAGCTGGGGAACCCTGGACAAGCCACCGTTCTCTCAGAGCAACCCAGTGAGGTAGGTTAGGCTGAGAGAGCATGACTGGTCCAAAGTCACCCAATGAGTTTCCATGGGCACAAGCCGGGATTCAGACCTGGCTGTTCCATAAACTAGTCTGACACTCTTAAGCACCAAACCATAGTGGCTCTCAAGATGCCTTGAGTCACAAGGGAAAGGGTGGGATATTAAATATGTTCATAAACAAATCAAAATGATCTCTGGCAGAAAAACAGGCCTTTGTGGACTCTGGATTGCTTTCCAAAGAGACGCAGGTTTCAGCTGAATGTTAGGAAAACTTCCTAGTGGTTACAGCAGTGTGGACAATGGAAGAAGACGAAGAGATTGGATTTATACCCTGCCCTTCACTCGGAGTCTCAGAGCGGTTTACAATCTCCTTTCCCTTCCCCTCCTCACAACAGACACCCTGTGAGGTAGGTGGGGCTGAGAGAGCTCTTTTGAGGACTGCTCCTGAGAGAACAGCTCTGAGAGAACTTGTAACTGACCCAAGGTCACACCAGCAGCTGCATGTGGAGGAGTGGGGAATCAAACCCGGTTCTCCCAGATTAGAGCCCGCGCTCCTAACCACTACACCAGATTGGCTCTAACCAATCGCTTTAGGGGGTGCGCTCCCACTCACTGGAGGTTTTCAAACAGAAGCAGGGTAGCCATATGTGTGGGATGCTCTTGTCTGAATATCCTGCACTGAGCAGGGGTTTGGACTGGATGACCTCTGAGCTCCGTTCTAGCTGATAGGCAGGACATCATTGGCTCTGAACGGGAGTCTAAACCCTTTCTGCAATAACACAACACACATGCTCCTCTTACAGCTTGTTCTCTTTTTAGCTCAGCGTGAAGGCTAACAGCAGCCGACAGCTCTAATCTCCTCGCCGTCTCCTTGTGACTTTGGAATATTTAAAAGTTCGACCTTGGTTTCCCTCCCCCATTGTTCCCTAATGGCGGAGAACTGGTGGAATGTCTTGGGGGGAGCTGCGACATGACATTTCTAACAGCTGCTTTCTCTCACCAGGAGGCTCCGGCAACGGACAATTTCCTCCCCCTGGCTTTGTCAGATTGTGTAAATGCGCCCCCACATGGTGAAGCCGGAAATTGCACACACGACTTGGGGAATGTTCCATCAGTTCAAAACAGAGGAGGCAGAAACCTTCCAAAGGTTAATGGCTCTTATGCACAGCCCCAATTTAAATCAGAGTTACACGGAACGGGGGGTTTAACCTTTCAAACCCCCGCTTGATTTTGCTGATTGAAAACAGGTATCCTCTGAAAGGGGGGTAGGTCAATATGGATAGCTGTTTTAGTTGGTCTGTAGCACTGTCTGAAGAAGTGAGCAGTGACTCACAAAAGCTCATCCCCTGCCACAAACTTCATTAGTCTTTAAGGTGTTACTGGACTCTTGCTCTTTTCTCCCGAAAGGGGGAGAAAACGACAGTTTTTAAAGGAACAGGTCCCCCCCCAAAAAAAAATAACCACTAGAAATAGCAGCATAGTAAGCTCAGTTTCAATTAGCAAAGCTAGGAGAGGCTTGAAAGGTTACATCACCCCTTTTCCCTTTCCCGTGCAAGTTAAGGACACTTGTACAGTTTCTTGTTCTTGTTGTTGTTCAGTCGCACAATCGAGTCCGACTCTCCGCGACCCCATGGACCAGATCACGCCAGGCCTTCCTGTTTTCCGCTGTCCTCTGAAGTTGACTCAATTTCATGTTCGTTGCATCGATGACACTGTCCAAACATCTCATCCTTTGCCGTCCCCGTCTTCTTTGACTTTCCATCTTTCCCAGCATCAGGGCCTTCTCCAGTGAGTGCTCCCTTCTCATTTGGTGGCCAAAGTATTTGAGCTTCAGTTTCATTATCTGGCCTTCCAGGGAACAGTCAGGGTTGATTTCTTTTAGGATTGACTGATTTGATCTTCTTGCAGTCCAAGGGACTCTCAAGAGTCTTCTCCAGCACCATAGTTCAAAGAAATCTATTCTTCGGCGCTCGGCCTTCCTTACAGTCCAACTCTCGCAGCCATACATGACTACTGGGAATCCCATTGCTTTGACCATGCGGACTTTTGTTGGCAGGGTGATGTCTCTACTTTTTATCATGCTGTTTAGGTTCGCTATCGCTTTCCTCCCAAGCAGCAGGCGTCTTTTAATTTCATGGCTGCTGTCACAGTCTGCGGTGATCTGGGATCCCAGGAACGTGAAGTCTGTCACTACTTCCACGACTTCCCCTTCTATTTGCCAAGGAGTGATGGGGCCAGATGCCATGATCTTAGTTTTTTTGATGTTGAGCTTCAAGCCCACTTTTGCGCTCTCCTCTTCCACTCTGAGCAAGAGGCTCTTTAGGTCCTCTTCACAGTTTCTTAGTTTGAATTAACTTATTGGGTATTGTTTATTCTTCAGACTGTGGTTAGTCATATGGGACCACAGAAAAATCCCCCCCAATGTTTTTTAAAATTAAGATCAGTCAAAAGTATCACAAAAGAACAGCACGTTTTTAAAGAGCTGTTAAATGATCATTAAGGCCAGATGCTCAATGCAAAGAAACAAACAAAAAGTAGGGATAGAAAAAACACTGATCAGAACCCAGGGTTCAAGAGCCAGGAGGGGGTGGGAGAGGAAGGTGGTACTATCCAGGCACGGTACAACAAAATATTATAAAGGTAGAGCAGCCATTTATGTATTGTTCTGTTTCTCCTGACACTCAGGATCTAGGGGGTAGCAGCTCTAACAGACCAATCAGCCCCTAAGGGCTGGGTTTTTTTTTCTTTTTGGAAAAAGAGGTGCCAGAGCTCTCAAGAGGGAAATGAAGTTTCCAATTTGTATACTGAAAACTCAAGGAGCCCCTTCTATCTGTCCCAACCAGCTCAGCGGTAGAGCCTCTGCTTGGCATGCAGAAGGTCACAGGTTTCAATCCCTGCTTAGAAGACCGAAAGTGTCTGCAAGCAAGCAAGCTTTGGCAGAGCGAACTCTGAAGCAAGTAGCCAAGCCAAAACAGAGGTGGAGTTCCAGGGAGAAAGGAACAGCAAACCATTTGTTTAGGATAGCTAGCATAGTTAGGGTTTAGGATTGGTCTATTGTCTATTTGATGTGTAAACTCCCCCTGTTTGTTTTAACCTCTTCAATTAAACCTTTATATTTTATAAGCTGAGAGTCTGAATGAATCTCTGGGCAGTAGAGACTGTTTATGTGCCCTCCTCGCCACTCCTAAGCTGAGCCTGTTAGCCTTGGGAAACAAAGGGGACTCAGGATATCTGAGCACACTACCAAATTAACCTTGAGTCCCTGGCATATACTGAGGTCCTGAGTTGAGGGACCTACATTGCTCCGAAATATAGAGAGCAAGTATATGATAGGGGGGAACATGCAGATCTGCCCTCACAGAGGAGGGAGAGCTTGTACCTGAAGGAAGGCCGGGGAGAGGGGCTCTGCAACTTACCTGTCTGCTTCTTGCTCCTTGTGGCCCAACTGAGGGTTGCTGGGAGCAGGGGGTGGGGCTCGTTGCATGTGCCTGCCCCCCTGGGCTCCTTACTGCCGGAGCTCCGCTCCTGTGCGCTCTCACAGGAAATGACCCCTGCTTCTATGGAAAAGTTCCCCTGAGGCCGCAAGGCACGCGCCCTCTAGGCTAACTTTGAAGAAGCTATGGAAAGTGGAATTATGCAAGAGGTCCTTTGAGAAAGGGCAAGTGAGTTTTTCCGGTCTTGGCTATCGCCATGGCAGTCGCATTCCCCCGGACTACTGGGAGAATCCTGCCAGCACCCACGGCTGGGAAGGGGCGCGATCATCTGTGCCACACCAGGAGCCCGAGTGAAGGGCTCCAAGCCATGGGGTGCTAGAGAGCCCCCCTCCGGCGAGATGCCAGTGAGTAGAGGCTACTCCAAGCCCCGACGGTCCCGCTGTGGAGTGTCCTGTATGGGAACAAGATCAGCACACCGAAGCAAGCGTTTGGTGATCAAGCTATTTCAGACACAAGCGAACAATCATTGAAAATGTGAGTTTAAGTACAAGGGAGAACAACGAAAAACCGCACGGCCCTCCCGAAAGAAAACGAGGGGGAGGAGGGGACTCTCCTCCACAAAGAACTGTTTACAAGCGATTTTAAACCAGAAAGCGGGGGGCACTACAAAAAGCGAATGGATTAAAATAAAGACACTGTAAGAGCTTACAGCGTGTTATAAGAACTTCCAGAGACCTTGACAAACTTTTAATAAAAGTAAACAACTCTCAAACATGGCACCGCCTGTGAAGGACCAGAGAGACAAACAAGCGAAAACAAAGCTTCTTCCCAGAAGTTCCAGCCCTGCGAGTTCTGTGCCTAGACAGGACTCAACTGCAAAACTCCAAAGGTTGTTGTCAGAAGCACTTCGCCCCCTACTGGTGAAAATTACGGCAACTGACAATAAACTCGATACGCAACAAGCACAAATGGCTGCAAATACACAGAAAATCAAAAAAACGGAGCAAGGACTTAAAAAGATTGATAACAACTCAAAAAAGATGAATAAAAAACTACAGGCTTTGGGGGGGGGGAATGCCAAATCGAAGAGTCTTGAGTATTACCGCTGCAAATGGAAAGGGCAAGCTATGTCTTGAGACTTCAAGGTGTCCAAAAAAAGAAAGGAGAGAATCTGAGACAGATTGTTGGCGATATATTAGCTCCCTTGGCAGAGATGACATCGGATCAACTTCAAAGCGAAATTGATACAGTCCATAGATCGTATACAGAATTTATCAGAAAGAATAATCTGACAGGGGAAGTTACAATAAGATTCTCCCGAAGAAAAGTGAGAGATCAACTATTGAAAGAATCTCATGGAGTGACCTTGAAGATAAAAGACAAAGATATAAGAGTACTGAAAGACATTCCATTTGAGATAAGAAGGAAAAGAAGTAAATACAGAGACTTGGTTTTATTTCTACAAAAGCACAATGTCTGCTACAGATGGCTAACACCTGAAGGATTAATCTTTAGATATGCAAATAGAAAAGAAAGGATTGACTCTGTTGAAAAGGCTTGCGAGTTTTTGCGTCAACATAGCAGCCCAGCAGGAGAAGGTGCGACCGATGCTGCCAAGGAAAGCGAAGATGGAGAGGCTGGATCTTCCAAAGAAGACTCTGACTCTAAATTGGGGGCTACTGCCCCCAAACAAAGCTATCATTTGAGACACAGAAAGGGGGGGAAATAGATTGTTAATCTACTCTGGAGTATCTAAAAGAAGTATGTTGTATATCTTTTTACAGTCTTTTTATGAAACTAGAATTGTTGATGAATATCTAAATATTTAAATAGATAGATGATCATTTTCAACGAAAGTTAACTTGCGTTTAAGCTTAAAGGTAATTTTGCAAATGTATGTATGATCACCATCTCTTGGGTTTTTAGAGGGTTTTCTTTACTTTCTCCCTTAGATTGTAGTTTCCCTTTCCTAATTTTCTGTTTGTAGTTATTAGAAAAGCAATTAAAAATCCCCTTTGGGGGGGCCCCCCAAAAAAAAGAGAGAGAAAGGGCATGTGGCCAGTTCTTGCAGCTTTGGACCATGATGTGGGCTATGAGCTGCTTTCATTATCCTTGCTTTTAATTGTTCAGCATGATGGCTTTAGCCATTCATTGTATGCCACTGTGGGCCCCATGAGGTCTGGAGAAAGGCAAGTTAGAACCATTTCAAATAAATCAAATAGAGCCATCTGTATTCCCCCCCCCCCCAAAAAAAAGGGGAAAAAGCAGCTTGGGTATGCGGTTCTTCACCAGGAAAACAACGGGGGGAATCAAGGGTTTAAAAGAACCTCTGTCTTTCCCAGCTGTATGTCCCCTTCCCAAAGGAAGCCCCGGTAGCTGCTCCTGAAGAATGTTTTTTTAAAAATAATAATAATCACAGAAATAAATGTAAGATACAGCTTTACCTCAAGAGACAGGATTGGAGGTTTCTTCAAGTGGCTTACACAACCAAAACCCACATTCCAGCTTTGGAACACTCACCCTCTATAGAAGAGTCCGTGTTGATGTAAGCGACGGCCCGGGCATGCAGAATTTTGGCATTCTCCTGAAATTGTGAGATAAAAATAGCTCCTTCATCTTCTCCAGTTCATGGCTCCATAGAAGATATCGGGGCGTGCCCCCAAACAAATACAGAGCTCAAGAGAGACAGATCAGTCCTGTTTGCGTGTATACTGCAAGACGTGCAAATATAGAGGGGTGCAAATACGTGCAGATTACAGAGGGGAGCACAACCGTGATTGTTGCCCTCATAATGTCCTTGCCCTCAGTCAAAGGCTCGCAGTGAGCCTGTGAGTACAAGCACAGGTTCTCCTGTGGGATCAGGGGCCCGGCTTTCGGCAGCATCCTTGACCATGAGGAAAAGACGGAGCACATCTGCACATCAGAGCTCTCTGCAAATCTCTGGCAGACTGCACAGATGTTGGGGGGACTCTGTGCATGATTCCACTCCCCCCTCTATAGGCACAGAGATTGCACATGTAAATGCATGGATTTACTCTACGGATACCCCACCTTTCTCCCCAGTGGGGACCCAAAGTGGCTCTGATAGTTTGTCACTCCTCCATTTGATCCTCACAACAACCCTGTGAAGTAAGTTAGGCTTGTGACCAGCACAAGGCCACCAAGGCAAGCTTCCGTGGTAGAAGGAGAAGAAGAGTTGCTTTTCTGTGTCCTGCTTTTCTCTGTCTTAAGAAGTCTCAGAGCAGCTGAAAATCGCCTTCCCTTCCTCTCCCGACAGCAGGCCTCTCTTGAGGCAGGCGGGGCTGAGAGAGTTCTGAGAGAACGGTGACTGGCCCAAGGTCACCCAGCAGGCCTCATGTGTCTCAAAGCAGCTTACAACCGCCTTCCCTTCCTCTCCCCACATCAGGCACCTTGTGAGGTAGGTGGGCTGCGAGAGTTCTGAAAGATAAATTGTGACTGGCCAAAGGTCACCCAGCAGGCTTCATGTGTCTCCAAGTGGCTTACAATTGTGAGGCAGGTGGGGCTAAGAGAGTTTTGAGAGAACCATGACTGACCCAAGGTCACCCAGCAGGCCTCATGTGTCTCAAAGTGGCTTACAATCACCTTCCCCTCCTCTCCCCACAACGGGCACTTTGTGAGGCAGGTGGGGCTAGGAGAGTTCTGAGAGAACCGTGACTGGCCCAAGGTCACCCAGTAGGCCTCATGTGTCTCAAAGTGGCTTACAACCGCCTTCCCTTCCTCTCCGCACAACAGTCACCTTGTGAGGTAGGTGGGGCTGAGAGAACAGTGACTGGCCCAGGGTCACCCAGCAGGCCTCATGTGGAGAAGCGGTGAATCAAATCTGGTTCTCCAGATTCGAGTCCGCCACTCTTAGCCACTACACCATGCTGGTAGAGCTGGGCTTCATTGGATGCCCTCAAGTTCTAGTATTTTGGGAGAGGGAGAAAAAACTCTCCACTCCACGCATAATTTGACAAACCTCTGCCATGTTCCCCCTTAGTCGTCTCTTTTCTAAACTGAAAAGTCCCAGCCTTTCGTCACAGGAAAGCCGCTCTGTCCCCAAATCATCTGGGTTACCCTCCTCTGTGCTTTTCCCAGCTCTGCAATGTCCTTTTGTAGATACGGTGACCAGAACTGTACACAGTATTCCAAATGGGGCCTCACCACAGATTAGGGTTCCCAAGTACCTACCTACGAACCGGCGGGGGACACATGCTTCCCTGCCGGAAGATTCTTGCTTGGAACACAGGCGCTGCACTATTCCGTCGGCCAGACGTGACGTAGGCACGTAGCTGGGTGACGCTCTGGCAATGGGACTGGAAACTCGATGGTACCATCGAGTTTCCAGCACCATTGCTAGAGCGTCGCCCGGCTACGTGTCTACGTCCCGTCTGGGCGATGGAATAGTGCAGCGTCTGTGTTTTCCCCACGGGAATGGTCCCGCGAAGAACTATACATCCCCCGCCGAATCAAGTTAAGTACTTGGGAGCCCTGCCACAGATCTATATAGGGGAATTATAATACTGGCCATTTTATTTTCAATCCCTGTCCTAGCAATCCCCAATATGGAGTTCGCCTTTTTCATGGCTGCTTTCATTGAGCTACCCACTACAACCCTGAGGCCCTTTCCCCTCTCCGTCTCAGCACTGCATCCCGGTCCAAGGCCAGCTGCTTACCTCTGCCCACTCTGTGGATCCTAGTAATCCAAATTCTTCCGCATCCCAGCTGGCAAAAATGATCGTTCTTCTAGGCCTCCAACCTGCATTCACAGAATTCAATTTACATGAAGAAAAGGTTATATTTTCACTGCAAAGGGCAGAGTCCGTTTAAAGAGGAGGGCAACACTCTTTGACACTGCGTGTCCCGTTTAAGGACTCTCCGCTGGGCTTGTAATTAACGTGAACAGCCCAGGCGAGCCCAATCTTGCCAGACCTCGGCTGCTAAGCAGGGTCGGCCATGGTGAGTAACTGGATGGGAGACCACTGAGGAAGTCCAGGGTTGCTACGCCGAGGCAGGCCATGGCAAACCACCTTAGTACATCTCTTGTCTTGAAAATTCCATGAGGGGTACCATAAATTGGTTGCACTTCATTATTATTATATCATATTATGACACTTTTTAAAAAAATAAAAATAAATTTTTATTAGGTTTTCCACACTGATAAAACAAATACAGACATAACACGTAACATATATACACGAAAATACCCTCCACCCACCTATATCCCTCCTATAATCTCGTATCTTCCCATATTTTGTTGCACAAATTAGTTGGTAAATTACATAGTATATAGATTATTTCCATTCTCATATGCAGTTCTCAAATATATCAAATAATATTTCCCCTTACTAAGATTACATCTATATCTTTCTCTTTCAACCTGGGTTACTCAATTCATTCTGCCAGACTTTCTTGTCACTAACTATTATGACACTTGATGATGATGATGATGATGATTATTATTATAGGACTTCTGCCTGCATTACAATTTGAGCATCACTTCTTTGGTGTAGTGGTTTCGTGTAGTGGTTAAGTGCGCGGACTCTAATCTGGGAGAACCGGGTTTGATTCCCCACTCCTCCACTGGCACCTGGCTGGATGACCTTGGGCAAGCCATAGCTCTGATAAGAGCTTTCCTTGAAAAAGAGCAGTTTCTGTCAAAGCTCTCTCAGCCCCGCCTACCTCACAGGCAATGTTCCCTCTAAGCTGTGGAGTCTTGTGAGCAAAATTCTACTTTGTGAGCTACTGGCATTAAACTTGTGAGCGAGCGATTTGGCTACTGAATAAATTAATTTGCTCTGGAGCCATTCTTCCTGAGCAAAGACAAAAATGTGTGAGCCAGAGGATAATAAACTGTGAGCTAGCTCACACTAACTCAGCTTAGAGGGAACACTGCTCACAGGGTGTCTGTTGTGGGGAGGGGAAGGGAAAGGAGTTTGTAAGCCGCTCTGAGACTCCTTTGGGTAGTGAAGGGCGGGGTACAAATCCAATCTCTTCTTCTTCTTTTACCTCACAGGGTGTCTGTTGTGGGGAGGGGAAGGGAAAGGAGTCTGTAAGCCGCTCTGAGACACCTTTGGGTAGTGACGGGCGGGGTATAAATCCAGTCTCTCTTCTCTCTTATTTACTACATCAGTCACATCATGTGCTGGGTACTTAGATGCAAGGGCCCATCCTTCCCTAGCCCCTCTGAAAAAAAGGATGGGAGCTGTTCAGAAGCTTGTTCCTCCAAGATATGCTTGTGCGTTACTGCACATCAGCACATCTGTATCCATACCAATGAGCCTAATGTACACCATCTCCTCAGAATTTGTCAGCGATGGCCAGCCTTATCATATGCCGCTGCAGAGCTTTCCCTGGGCAGTGACATGTTCCTAGGCAGCACAATGACTCCGCCCACCCAGCAAGCCATTGGCTGTCCCTGGCAAGGAAGGACAAAAGGGGGGTTCCAGGTCAGGCGGGGATATTCTTTGGCCAACAGTAGTGCCTACTGATTCTGGCACTGTCTTCTGACTTCTAGCTGCCATGAGGTGATGGCCTAGGCTCTCCACCAGCCATGCCCTGACCTGGATAGCCCAAGCTAGCCCGATCCTGTCAGATCTCATCTCAGAATCTAAGCAGGGTCAGCCCTGGCTAGTGTTTGGAAGGGCGACCTCCAAGGAATACCAGAATTGTGACACAGAGGCAGGCAATGGCAAGTAAACGGGCTCAGGGCGGGTTACATTTTAAGAAATGCAGTAAAATTTAAAACAAGTCTAGCTCACCATAACTCTAAAAGAGCTAGAACTTCTGGCTGCCAGACAATCTTAGGATCTCCTCACTATACTACACACAATGCCATACGATTATTATTATTATTATTATTATTATTATTATTATTATTATTATTATTATTATTATTATTATTACTTCATATTTTCTACTCTGTATGGATCGTTACCTCTCATCGCCATCTTGCCAAAGCTCCGGGCAACCTCTTGCAGAACGGCTGCCCCCGTGGTCGGGTCGATGCCGCCAAATACCCAAGAATCCCTATGGCCTCCGAAAATAATATATCTGTCTGGAGGAAGAGTGAGAAAGAAATACACTGGATCGAATGCACAGTATAATTGGCAGGCTTTTCTTTCCAGGTTCAGATCAGAAACATTTCAAGTGCAGGGGGAAGGGAGGGAAGAACTGTAGAATTTTTCACACAAGACAGAAAATCTTATTCTTCGCGGTTCAGAGCCACACTGCTATAAATAGCATTCTTTTAAAATTAAAAAAGAGAGATGGTGTCAGCACGTCCCAGTTCTTGCCAGGAAATACAAAGGAAGAGTTGCAAGGTACTTATGGGCATCTGTGCAGTTTTGCCTTTTTTATCATGGCAAAATATTTCCATTTCTCTGTGTGTTTTGACCATTAATCTCTTGAATTTTGGGCTGCTTTGACTCACCTTCTGGACATATCACAATCCTTGACATGGACTCTTCTGGAAGCTCCAAAAGCCCATTCTATTTATTGATTTAGGAACTTCTTTACCCATCTTTCTCCAAAAAAGGGGCACAGGCAGGATACAACCGCAATCATATATCAAATATCAAATCTACAATATAGCAGTAGCAACTATTGGCCCAACACTGGATGTGGGACTGTGGCTCAGTGGTAGAACATCTGCAGAAGGTCCCGGGTTCAATCCCCGGCATTTCCAGTTAGAAGGATCAGGTCAGAGGCCATGTGAAAGACCACCTGAGATCCTGGAGAGCCACTGCAAGTCGGAGGAAACAACACTGATCTGGAAAGACCAAAAGTCTGACTCTGTGAAAGGAAGCTCTCTAAGGGGGCAAGTTATGAAATTCTTAACTGGCCTGTAGGATAAGTCAGTAGCCTGCATTACAGATGGTGCTCTGAGTCTGAAGGAAAGGGCTTTGCAAAGGTGATTTCGTAACTTTGTGACCGGGTAAGATCTTGAGATTTGGATGTTATGCCTCTGTTGATACATCCTAAGATTGCATTAGCCTTTTTTGTCACTGCATCACACTGGCTGCTCATATTTAACTTATGGTCCACCTGTACCCCAAGATCTTGTTCACACACACTGCTACCCAGAAGTGACAGGCTTTCCCACAGCGTTCTAGACCAGCTGACAGATGTGCCCAACAGGATCAACATGTTCTATTGAGGGGAAAGGATAAGCTAGCTAGGGACGCCGGCCTCCAGGTGGGACCTGGGGACCCCCCAGAATTACAGCTCCTCCCGAGATCAGCTCCCCTGGAGAAAATGGATGCTGTCAACGGTAGACTTAAAGGCATTGTACCCCACTGAGGTCCCTGTCCTCCCCAGGTTCCACCCCCAAATCTCCAGAAGTTTCCCAGCCTGGAGATGGAAATCCTCCCCCCCACGCCTCCCGCCAGTAGTCAAGGGGGACCTGGCAACCCTAAAGCCAGTGCAAAGGATCTTCTCATGTTCCACATTCCCTTCGTATTCCCAATTCGAGCCTAGTAATACCTTAAGGACTGACAAGATTTCCAGGATGTAAGCTTTCAAGAGCCAAAGCTCTCTTTGTCAGATACAACTACGAACGGAGAGATCCCAGAGCTCTTGTTGGTCTTTAAGATGCTGTTGGGTTCGAATCCTGCTCTTCTGTTGCAGCCCAGCCCGGCTACCCACCTGAAACTATTTCATTTTCCTGTTGTTGATGCTCCACCCCCCCAAGTCAGTGAACTTGAGGCAAACCTCACCACGTTCCTCTGCTCCTTTGATGGTCCCGATCACGTTGTAGATGCGTGTGAGCTTACTGATGGTGTGGACGTGCATTCTCACTTTCCTGAAGGAGGAAGAAAAAGGAAGCGAGGTGAAGGTGCGGTCCTGTGAAGGAAGAGCGATGCCGACTGAACATTATCGAAAGATTGAGACTGACACGCGATTGCCAGGTTGAGGACAGATTCAGGTGCCAAGGAGAGAAAGGCCCAAACACAACCACGATTCTTCATGTGACTACCAGAACAGTACAGAAGCTATGCTGGAAGCAGTGGGGCCCTTGGCATAAAAGAAGAAGAAGAGAAGAGATTGGGTTTATACCCCACCTTTCACTACCCAAAGGTGTCTCAGAGCGGCTTACAAACTCCTTTCCCTTCCCCTCCTCACAACAGACACCCTGTGAGGTAGGTGGGGCTGAGAGAACTCTTGACAGAAACTGCTCTTTTTCAACAACAGCTCTTATCAGAACTATGGCTTGCCCAAGGTCATCCAGCAGCTGCAAGTGGAGGAGTGGGGAATCAAACCCAGTTCTCCCAGATTAGAGTCCGTGCACTTAACCACTACACCAAAATGGTGTAAAAAGAGTACTGAAGGATGATAGGGAAATGGCTGAGAAGCTGAATGTATTTTTTGCCTTTGTCTTCACTGTGGAAGATGAGAAGTGCTTGCCCACTCCAGAACCACTGATTTCGAGAGGGGTGTTGAAAGACCTGAGTCAGATTGATGAGAGAGGAGGTCCTACGACTGATAGACAACTTAAAAACTGATAAATCACCAGGCCCGGATGGCATACATCCAAGAGTTCTGAAAGAACTCAAATGTGAACTTGTGGATCTCCTGACAAAAAATATGTAATCTTTCCTTTAAATCTGCCTCCATTCCTGAATACTGGAAGGTAGCTAATGTCACTCTCATCTTTAAAAAGGGTTCCAGAGGAGATCCGGGAAATTACAGGCCAGTCAGTCTGACGTCGATACCGGGTAAGTTGGTGGAAACCGTTATTAAGGAGAGAATTAGTAGGCACATTGATGAACAAAAACAATTGAGGAAGACTCAGCATGGGTTCTATAAGGGAAGATCTTGTCTCACTAACCTGTTAGTGTTCTTTGAGGGGGTGAACAAACACGTGGACAAGGGGGACCCAATAGATGTTGTTTATCTTGACTTCAAGAACGCTTTTGATAAAGTTTATCATCAAAGGCTCCTAAGTAACCTCAAAAATCACGGGATAAAAGGACAAGTCCTCTTGTGGATCAAAAACTGGCTAATTAAGAGGAAACAGAGAGTGAATATAAGTGGGAAATTTTCTCAGTAGAGGGTGGTAAGCAGTGGGATACTGCAGGGCTCAGTACTGGGTCCGATGCTTTTTAACTTGTTCATTAATGATCTGGAGTTGGGAGTAAGCAGTGAAGTGGCTAAATTTGTGGATGATACGAAGTTGTTCCGGGTGGTGAGAACCAGGGAGGATTGTGAGGCACTCCAAAGGGATCTGTCAAGGACAGGTGGGTGGGTGTCAATGTGGCAATGTGGCCTGGAATGGCCTGGAATGTTAAAACGTTCTAGCTGTATCTGAAGAAGTGAGGAGTGAGTGAATATAAGTGGGAAATTTTCTCAGTAGAGGGTGGTAAGCAGTGGGATACTGCAGGGCTCAGTACTGGGTCCGATGCTTTTTAACTTGTTCATTAATGATCTGGAGTTGGGAGTAAGCAGTGAAGTGGCTAAATTTGTGGATGATACGAAGTTGTTCCGGGTGGTGAGAACCAGGGAGGATTGTGAGGCACTCCAAAGGGATCTGTCGAGGACAGGTGGATGGGTGTCAATGTGGCAAATGGGGTTCAATGTGGCCTGGAATGTCCTGGAATGTTAAAACGTTCTAGCTATATCTGAAGAAGTGAGGAGTGACTCACGAAAGCTCATCCCCTGCCGCATTTTTTGAGTCTTTAAGGTGCCCCTGGACTCTTGCTCTTCTCTACCTCTTTATAATGAACACGTGTCTCCAGAGAAGGCCAGAAATTGGAACCAAGCCCTTCCTGAATGACTACACAACATTCAAGGCACAGTGAAGACAACCTTCATCATTTATGGACTCAGTCTGGGTATAAGTGGCAGGAGATGGACTGGAAACGCTCGGACTGACCTTGTAGAGTGACTGCCTGCAAATCCAGGTCCAATGTTGTAGGACACGTTGAGATTTCCTTTCCAGGTCTCGTCTGGGGCTGCAGCGCCTCCCATGAAACTGTGGCAGGAACATCAAGGCAAACAATCACCATGAGAACAAAAACAGGCATCTCTCAGCAGCGCTGGTGCACAGGGACAATCAGCTGAAAAGAAAGCGCCCTGTAGACAGGGCTTCTTCCTTCCTCACTCATTTTCCTGTAGCTGCCGTCATTGGGTGCCTCCTCTTCTACATGGTTCCATGGCAGAGTATCTACTTTGCATGCAAAAGGCCGCATGCTCAGTCCCTGACATTCCCCGTAGCTGAAGCACCAAGCTCTTTCTGCTGCTCTATGCAAAGCCATCTCTGTATGTAGGAAGCTGAGAGGGGTGGTACTCCTGAACAAACTGGGCATTTTTGTATCTGCACTGTGCCAACAGAGCCCAGTCGCTGTAATCACACTTAACAAGTCAGGCACAAACTGTGGTTTAGAATTCCCCGTTTAGCACTCACCACAGTTTGCTGGGCAACCTAAACTCAAATATCACACCAAACCGCAGACGAATCACACACGCTAAATAATCCACTTTCAATGCACTTTCCAACTGGATTTTGTCAGTTCACACAGAAATTCTATCCCAAAATGTCAAATGTATGTTGGAAATGCCAAAAAATGTTGGTACTTTTTTCATATGTGGTGGACTTGTGATAAAAGTAAAAAATTCTAGATCTGGATACATGAAATATTGCAAAAAATACTAAAAAATAATGTACCATTTGTACCAGAACTTTTTTATTATTAAATATGCTTCCAGAAAAATGTAAAAAACCAGGACTTTTATCTTATTCTACACATAGTTACGGCCGCTAGAATACTGTATGCGAGTTATTAGAGAAGAGAGACCAACGAAAGAAGAACTAAGAAATTACTGGAAGTTGCTGAAATGGACAAATTAACTTTAATCTTCAAAGGACATAGAGAGGACAAATTTGAAGAAACACGGTCAAGACTTTATCACTGGTTTGAAGAACTGAATTGCTGAAATACATTATAAACAAAATAGAGCTTAATAAGAACATGATGTTAAATATTGTGCAAAGTTTGGACAGTATCACATGGCATAGAAATAAATAAAAATAAAATAAAATAAGTTTTACGATTTGAGACGTATGGACAACAAATTATTTTCCCAAAGTATGAAGGGATGCTCCCATTTTCTGTTTGTGTTTAGTATTGTTTGTGTCTGTATGTCTGTTGTGTATGTTTAATAAAACAAACATTATATCTGAAAGTGGATTATTTAGTGCGTGTGACCACAGCCAAACTGTGATTTACACACTGTGGCTCACTGTGCCATCTGAAGCCCGTCCACAGCTGTTAATCACGGTAGTTCGGTAGATCCTCCATATTCCAAAGCAGTATATCTCTAAGGACCAAATGCTTGACAAATAACCAGGGGAAAGACATTGATCTCATTCTCGGGGTATGAAAATCCCAAGGGTGTCTGGCTGACTGCTTCGGAAACAGGACGCTAGACGAGATGGAACCTGGTCTGCTTCAACATAACTATTCTTAGGTGTTTTATATTAAATACTGTCAAGCAACCTAATCTCATTATTTGTTTTCCAGACCACTGCCTGAATTCATTCTCCCTTGCTGCAATAAATCAGGGCAAAGCAGTGAAATAATCGTGTCAAACAGACCTCCCCCCCCTTCTTTGCACACATGAGCATCAAAGTCAGTTAAATCCACATACCGTAACAGTATTTCCGCATCATGGTAACCAATGGGATGAACTGGGATTCTGGGAATCCCGACTCCATCGTCGACCTCATACCTGAAGGTGTACTCTGATAAATCAAAAACAGCTTGAGATAACCAGGATGCTTAGAAATCCAGATGCAGACATAATCACACAGCATGGGACAAATCAGAAGCAGCGGTCTTGAAATTACAAAATTATGTCTCCACAATCATGGGGATTAAAGAGTGGTGGGAAGAGGGGCATCCCCCTCGGTTTCACAGACTGCTTATGGGTGTCAAGGGTCAGCTGCAGCTGAATACAGATTCAGAACTTTCTTCTGGAGTTCTGGCCCTGCTGGTGGGCCTGTGGGCCTCAGCCTCCATGGCCTGTTGTTGGCCGTCCAGAGAAGCTGATTGGCCACTGTGTGAGACAGGATGCTGGACTAGATGGACCACTGGTCTGATCCAGCAGGGCTCTTCTGATGTTCTCATGAAGGCCTCAGTCTCTATGCCCCGTTGTTGGCTGTCCAGAGGAACTGATTGGCCACTGTGTGAGACAGGATGGAGGACCAGATGGACCATCGGTCTGATCCAGCAGGGCTCTTCTTAGGTTCTTACAAAGGCATCGGCCTCTACGCTGTGTTGTTGGCCGACCAGAGGAGCTGGTTGGCCACTATGTAAGCAGAAACCAAGGGGGAAAAAACACTCCATTGGTCTGATCCAGCAGGGCTCTCCTTATGTTCTTCAGTCTCCACCCTTAAGACATCAGACGAGACAGCAGCCTCCAAAGCCCAGTTCATACCATTGTATCTTCCGAAAGCCCTCCGAGGCGTCAGCTTTGCTGCACTGGCTCACTCATTCTCTGCCATCGTAGATGGGTTGAGGCCGGCCTCCCTGCCAGCCACAGCATGGGAAGGAGAGGGGGTTCAGGCACCCTAGTCCTCTTCCTTCCCTCCAAGTAAGCACGCCTTCCCTCTCCCTCTGTCCTCCACCCAGCTGTTCCTCCCTGGCTTGGAAGCCTCCCTTATATACCATCTTTGCCCCATCCCCCGCCCCGGACCTTGGCTCTAATTGGAGCTCAGCCCTGCCTGGAAGAGATAAAAGGAGAGTGGCGATACACATTCTCAGGGCGATCTGTCCTTTGTTCTCCCTCCCGGGCTTTAAAGGTAGCAGGACCAGCCTCCCTCCTCCGTCTTCTTCCTGCCCTGGCCCTTTCCAGCTGCCGGCCTTCACCGCTGCAGGCCGCCACCACTCTGTCCAGGTCTCCAGTTTGGTGTAGTGGTGAGGAGCGCGGACTCTAATCTGGGAGAACCGGGTTTGATGCCCCACTCCGCCACATGCAGCTGCTGGTGTGACCTTGGGTCAGTCACAAGCTCTGGCACAGCTGTCCTTGAAAAAGAGCTGTTTCTGTCAGAGTTCTCTCAGCCCCACCTACCTCACAGGGTGTCTGTTGTGGGAAGGGGAAGGAGATGGTAAGCCGCTCTGAGACTCCAAGCGAAGGGCAGAGTATAAATCCAATCTCTTCTCTCTCTTCTTCTCTCTTCCAGTCTCCTCCCTAGCGGAGCCGGGGGCCACTAGCTGGTTGGGGACTGTCACTGCCGGCCACTGCCCCAGGGTTCCGTGCTGCCTCCCTCTCTGGACAAGGGCCCTCAGGGCTCTGGGTTGTTTGTGGCTTGCCAGGTGGGAAAGGGGTTACGTCGGGGACAGGAGCCAGCCCACAGAAACAGAACTTTCCAAATCTGGCCAGAGCTGGTGCTCTCCACGCCTCCTCTGGCCAACCCTTTCACGAAAGTGGGGGCGGCCAGAGAAAACACCATAGCTCTGAGCGAGGGCCATCACACATCCCTAGGCAAAGGGATCACCAGCAGGAAACACTGTGCGGACCGCAACTGCTGCATCGGCACGCCTCAGGACAGATGGCCCTTCCAGTGACAATTGCACCATCTATATACAAGCACAGGCACCACCCCGAGAAGCGGAACAAAACAGAAACGCATTGAGGTTCAAGCGGCATTTTGGGTAGTTGCAAGTGGCAACAGGTTGCAGTAAGCCGAAGGAGCCGGGGTGGGGGGTGGGTATCTAACCAGCATGAGAGGAGAGAAAAGAAGAGCCAGGAAGGAAGAGAGCCAGGGGTGGAGGAGGAGGAAGTTAGAGAACGTGCCTGCTAGGGAGGGTGGGATATAAATTGAAATAAATAAATAAACGTAAGAACATCAGGACATCAGAAGAGCCCTGCTGGATCAGACCAATGGTCCTTCTAGTCCAGCATCCTGTCTCACACAGTGGCCAACCAGTTCCTCTGGACAGCCAACAACCAGGGCATAGAGACCAAGGCCTTCACAAGAACATAAGAAGAACCCTGCTGGATCAGACCAGTGGTCCATCTAGACCAGCATCCTGTCTCACACAGTGGCCAAGCAGGTCCTCTGGATGGCCAGAAACAGTGCACAGAGGCCGAGGTCTTCAGAGGAACATAAGAAGAATCCTGTGCTGGATCAGACCAGTGGTCCATCTAGTCCAGCATCCTGCCTCACACAGGGGCCAACCAGTTCCTCTGGAGGGCCAGCAAAAGGACATTCCCCTGATGTTGCCTCCTGGCCCTGGATTCAGAGGATTAATGCCTCTGAATGTGGAGGTTCCCCTCAGTCACCACGGCTAGTAGCCACTGATAGACTTCTCCTCCATGAATCTATCTAATCCCCTTTTAAAGCTGTTTATTCCTGTGGCCAACGCTACATCCTTTGGCAGTGAATTCCACATTTCCATCACTCTGTGTAAAGTAGTATTTCCTTTTGTCTGTCCTGAACCTACTGCCCCTCAGCTTCATTGGATGCCCTTGAGTTCTAGTATTTTGGGAGAGGTAGAAAAAATTCTCTTGGTCAACGCTCTCCACCCCAGGCATAATTTTATAAACCTCTATCGTGTCCTCCCTTAGTCGAGAGCTGGAGCCAACATTAAAGAAAGGGGGACATGCTTTTATCCTGGATGATTTAAATGGTTCAATGGGCTAAACGAAGACTATTAGACTGGACTGACAACAGGCAACTTGATATAATGTGATGACGCATACAAATCAAGGAACCAACCACTTCTCCTTTGAATCATGGGGTCTGTAATACTTTCACAGTTGCAGTGGCCACCGCTATCAGCACACTTTTAATCTCGTAACGCTTTGCTGCCGAAAACTGTACAAGCTCCATCTGATTGAAACAGCCAGGCAAAGCAAACCAAGGAGGGGCTTGGGGGTACACACACAGCCTTTCCCAAAATCCCAGCACCATCATACCCTAAACCAAACAATAGTGATGGCGAGACGATCGTCCCATGGCCTAGAGGCTACAGTCACTCACCTTTTGCTGGGTACCCTGGAGTCAGAGGATCTCCCGCACCATTTAAATTTAATACATTCCCACGCTGGACTCCTCCTCCGGGAAGGTTCCACCCATCTGGATAGGGATTCACTCCGGGGGCACAATAATCAGCAGGGTCTGAGTAAAGTATAATCCCTTTAGCTCCAGCTAACATGGCATTTTTAACCTACAGAGCAGTCAAACATTAAGAGGTTGTTTTCAACAGTCAACAAGATTTAGTAGAAGCATCTTTGAGTTTCACGGTCCGCCGCTTTAAACCAGCAGGGTAATTAGTTCAAATTGATCAAGCAATCAGTGGAAATGGCAAGGTGAGGTGGGTCTTCAGGAGAGACAGGGCCTTGAGCTGTGGTGGCCCCACTGGTGGATCTCCTGATGGCACCTGGGTTTTGGCTACTGTGTGACACAGAGAGCTGGACTGGATGGGCCATTGGTTTGATCCAACATGGCTTGTCTTCTGTTCTTATGTTCTAGGTAAAAAGGTAAAGGTTTCCCTTGCTCGAAAGCCAGTCGAATCCGACTCTAGGGAGCGGCGCTCATCTCCGTTTCCAAGCCGAAGAGCCAGCACTGTCTGAAGACGTCTCCGTGGTCATGTGGTCAGCATGACTTAAACGCGGAGGCGCACAGAACGCTGTTACCTTCCCACCGAAGTGGTAGCTATGTATCTATTTGCAATTTCTTGCTTTCAAACTGCTAGGTTGGCAGGAGCTTGGGTCAGAGACAGGAGCTCACTCCGTCATGTGGCACTAGGGTCTCAAACTGCCGAACTACCAACCTTCTGGTCTGCAGCTCAGCATCTTTAACCTCTGAGCCACCGCGGCCTCTTCTTATGTTTTAACTGGGGGTAAAAAAATGACCTCAACACTCTTGGTGTACACTCTACAATTTACAAAAACATTCATAAGTGAGGGGGGTCAGGAAACTTCTCAGGGGAAATTATCTCATTAAGACTGAAAAGTCATGTGGAATATGGAGTTGTAGAAGACTGAAAATAAATATTTCCCCCCCGGAACAATTTGACTTGTACTTTTTTAAATTTGAGGATCTTCAGCAAATAAGCAGAACATTGAACCTGGCACCGAATACCTCCTTTCAACCAGTGACCTTACACTGGCCGCCTTCCCCAGCCCACTGAAACCTGGAATGCTGAGAAGAAGGAAAGAGGGGGAGAGCAAGAGAAAACCCCCCACAAATATTGACTTACTTTATTTCCCCTGAAGATCTTCCCATATCGGGCAATGACAATCTTCCCCGTGCAGTTGATTCCCATCTCTCGCTTCAACTTGAAAAAGTCTTCGGTGCGTCCATAATTCACATACACCAGATCTGCCTTTTCAGGAGTGAGAAGAAAAAAAATAACACATTTTTGTTACTCGGACTCAAGCCATTTCTAAAATGTGTATGCTTGACTTCTATTTCACGTCTGCAAAGTGATATTGGTTGAAATCTCTACTGTGCTGTGATGCATATAACATCTGTAGATATGCCATAATGTTGTGAACTGTGGACACATCTCTTGAGAGGAGGTTTAAAAGGTAAGGAAATTACCTGCATTTCTCAGAACAGCTTAAGGGCTCATGGTGATGGTGTTGGATAGCGCAGTCAAGTCACAGCTGACTTATGGCCAGGGGTCATTTTGTAGAAAAAGAGGTGCAGGAGCTCATTAGCATAACTTATTTGCGTATGCCACACCCCCTGACATCACCGGAAGTGTGTCAGAAGGCAACACCCACCGTTCAGGCTCCACTGGACTGTTTTGGATTGCTAGCTATTGGGGGGGGGGGAACGTGCAGATCTGTCCTCGCAGAGGAGGGAGAGCTTGTACCTGAATAAAACTTGGTCTTAAAGGTGCCACTGGACTGTTTTGGACCAGGAGCCGGGGGGGGGGAGCTCTGTAACTTATCTGGCTGCTTCTTGCTCTGCCCGAGGGCTGCTGGGAGCAGGGGGTGGGGCTTGTTGCATGTCCCCGCCCCCTGGGCTCTTTACTGCCGGAGCTCCGCTCCTGTGTGCTCCTGCAGGAAATTACCCCTGCTTATGGCAAGCCCGTAGGGTTTTCAAGGCAAGAGATGAACAGCGGTGGTTTGCCATTGCCAGCCCTTGCATGGTGACCCTGGACTTCCTTGGACGTCTCCCTTCCAAGCAGTAACCAGGGCCAACCCTGCTTAGCTTTCAATATCTGATGAGATAGGCCTAAGAACTGTGTGCCATTGAGTAAGACGTGAGGAGAAATTGGCAACAGACAAAATATTAATAGAACAGAACTCGTTTATCTCAGGCAGCGAAAGGTCACAGCTGGAAAATTAAGTCAATCTTAATAGAGAAAAGTTCCCGGAATTCAACATACGAAAAACCCGGGCGTAGCTGTAAATACCAACTAATGGACCAAAGTACCCCAGACCAGTGTTCCCTCTAAGTTGAGTTAGGCCTAAGAACTGTGTGCCATTGAGTAAGACGTGAGGAGAAATTGGCAACAGACAAAATATTAATAGAACAGAACTCGTTTATCTCAGGCAGCGAAAGGTCACAGCTGGAAAATTAAGTCAATCTTAATAGAGAAAAGTTCCCAGAATTCAACATGCAAAAAACCTGGGCGTAGCTGTAAATACCAACTAATGGCCCAAAGTACCCCAGACCCAAATTAAAGAACAACTGTGGGACACGTACGTACAGCCATACAGATAACCACTCTGGTAGCCTCTGGCTCACACATTTTTGTCTTAGCTCAGAAAGGATGGCTCCAGAACAAACTAATTTATGCAGCAGCCAAATCTCCTGCTCACAGCTTTAATGCCAATAGCTCACAAAGTAGAATTTTTGCTCACAGGGCTCCATAGCTTAGAGGGAACATTGCCCCAGACACAAATTAAAGAACAACTGTGGGACACGTACATACAGCCATACAGACAACCAGTCTGGCACAGGTGGTTCTCTGGGACTTACCGTTAACACGCCTTGCGGTGAAAAAGCGTTATATGGTGGCAACACCCCAGAAATGTTTTCATATCCTGGAGGAGGGGCCTCAAAGAGCGACGTGTTGAAAATCTATCGCAAGGAAAAGATTTTAAAAAACCAAAACACAGAGACACAGAAAGAGCTGAAACAGAATTTCACACACTTTAAATTTAGAAACTTTCAGAATTTGAGACAGATTTTGAACTTTAGAGTTTCCCATTTTGATTTTGAAATCTGATTTAGGATTTATTTATTTTTAATCAGGCACAATTCACTCGTTTTCAAGCACTCCTGAGTCCAAAGTTTACGTGCTTTACTGCGCCATCCTAATCAGAGTTACACAATTCTAAGCCCACTGGTGGCACTGCAAGGGGCGAACGAGACATAACGTCAGCCACGGATCAGACACCATTTTCTCTTGGTTAACCCTCTCCACCCCATGCATCATTTGATAAACCTCTGTCATATCCCCCCCTTAGCTGTCTCTTTTCTAAACTGAAAAGTCTCCGACTCTTCAGCCTTTCCTCTTAGGGAAGGTACGAAAACTGATCTGGCTTAACCCTGAAAAGGTGCTGAACTCAGCCTCTTTGGAACTGTGAGGGTACATTCCACAGTCTAGGGTTGCTACCATCCAGTTGGGGCCTCGAGATCTCATAGAATCATAGCGTTGGAAGGGACCTCCAGGGGCATCTAGTCCAACCGCCTGCACAATGCCGGAAATTCACAAATACCTCCCCCCCACCCCCAATGGAGGAGCTGCGGTGGCTCAAGTGGTTAAGACGCTGAACTGCAGGCTGTGGAAGGTCAGTAGTTCAGCAGTTCGAGACCCGGGTGCCGCATGACGGAGTGAGCTCCCATCTCTAGTTCCAGCTCCTGCCAACCTAGCAGTTCGAAAGCAAGAAATTGCAAGTAGATAAATAGGGACCACTTCGGTGGGAAGGTAACAGCGTTCCGTGCGCCTTGGTGTTCCGTGCGCCGGCCACATGACCACGGAAAGGTCTTCGGACAGCGCTGGCTCTTCGGCTTTGAAACGGAGATGAGCACCGCAACCCTAGAGTCGGATTCGACTGGCTTTTGAGAAAGGGAACCTTTACCTTTACACCCCCAATGACCCGTTTCATGCCCAGAAAATGACAAAAAAAAAACCTCCAGGATCCCTGGCCAAACTGGTCTGGAGAAAAAATTGCTTCCTGACTTCCTGGAATTGCAAACGATCTTGTAATGACAAAGATCCGTTTCCCCAGAAAACATGACTGGTTTGGAGGGTGAGAGGAACATTAATAATCTGAGACCCCAGTCAGACGTGCCGGAAAACGTGGGGGGGGGGAGCGCGGCTATTTGCACCATTGCATTCTGATGCACCATTATGCGATCAGACGCGGCGACGGCTTCCCCGCGGCAAAGAGGACGGCGGTGGAGAAAGCCGCGTGCCGGTGCGATCACACCCAGGGAGTCCGCATGCAGCCCGTGGCGAACCATTTGCCAGTAGGTCCTCCCAGGTCCTTTTTAAATCCGCATCTTTGGCGGGACACCACGGTTGCGCTATGCCTCCCAGCTGTTCCGGTGTGATCGTGCCTGGAAAATCCACGGGACACTCGTGCCTTCAGCGCAGCCAGAGGTCATTTCGGGGGGGGGG